AAGATGAATACACACAATAATGATATAAAATTTAATTTTAATTTAGAAAAATTAAGGGGGTCTAAAGACTATTGGATATTTGAAAGCAGAAAATGATTAATATTACCAAACGCATTAATTTTGCTTGTAAATATTACTAAGCTTTATAGAGAAAAATGATAATGCTTACATAATACTTTTTCAACAAATAGCCAAAAAAATACCGGAATCTTTGGCAGCATATTCTGCACATATAACTCTGTTTTTTTTTCTCAGGTAAGATTTCTTGACAGACGATGACAGAAGAAAAGCAGATGACGTCCCATACCAATCTATTTATTTTACTAAAAAGAGTTTCTAATATGTTTTAAGTTAACTATGGATGGGTTTAAATATAAATCCGTCATTCGTCGTCTCTTGTTATTTTTAACCAGTTTTATTTATTTATTTCAAAAATGACAGATCATATTTCAACTTTATTGGTTTGACGGAACGATGAACGACAAACGGACGCCGATGCGTATGAATTCGCCTTTAGATTTTTGAGGCTTGTAAAAGTCTTGCTAAATTATAGATTATAATTTTGTGTCAACTTATGTCAAATATCTGCGTTTTGGAAAGATGATGCATTTTTATTCGTGTTATTACTTGTGTTTTGTGTCTTTTGAAGTCAAGTGGAAGAAAAATCGAGGGAAAATTAACTGTAGACCCAGAGCACAGTTTATAGTTAATACTCGCGGCCCAGGCAGAAAGCCTTATACACCAATAAAGTTACCGTCAATAAAGTTTGTATACCATCTCGTCGTAGATAAGTGCATCTCGTATATGGCACAAGGATCGTACTAAACATATACTACTGGAGTAGTATATATATAGTAAAATATCGACATCACACGATAGGTAAATAATGGATTTTAGTACTACAGAAGAATAATGTCAAAGGGTACTAGTTTAAAATAATTAAGATTAAAGTTAATTAATCAACCTTTAAGGTATAAAATTTGGTAAGTGTTAATATTAATAGAAAGTTTGTTTTATTTATGTTATTTTATTTATTCCTGTGGAATATTACAAATTTGTATTTGTACATAAGTTATATTGATAAATATAATAATAAATGCGGGAAGTTTCTTGAAGCTTGAAAGTAAGAAATAGTTCTTTTCTATATTTTTTTTGGTATGTGGTGTTTTGTTCTTGTTTGTTTTGTATTAACACATACCGTTTTATTTAATAAAATAACTCAATTACATGTTTTCGGTTTTATTCTAGTTTTTTTTCACAATATTTTGAAGTAATCACTTGTCACTCAAATTTTAAATATATTAATTTCCTGCTATGCGTTCCAATTGTACCAACTTATTTCTTTGTAAAATAAACTATGTACTTTGAAATTTAAATGGCAGACACATCTATCCCTGTCAAGGATCTTGTCGTTGGACAGACTATAGTTATCGCGGAACTCTAAACTATAGTTAAAATCTGTTTTAAATTCGATTAAGCGATATCTTAAATAAAATTGATCTGACGACAAAGTGAAACGAGACACATTGTGGCTGTCGTGATGCCGTTTAAGACGAATTAAAACAAATGACCGTTTTATTAATACCGACCCACGCTCAATTTAGTTAGTTTAAGCGGTCGATCCACTAAACGAGTTTAATTGAGGTAGGCATCTAATCAGGTTATCGGTTGATTATTTTTTATTGCTGATAAATGTAAATAGTCTTGTTAATTAGGGCAATTTATTACATTAAGAAGCAATAAAATAAGTTATTTTAGTGTGAGAATAGGCTTGGTGCATTCTGCACTAGAGGTAGGAATTCTAGTTTCTTGGGAGGAACCAGTTCTTTAGTTCTAGTTCCTCCAGGAGAATAGTTCCTTGAACTAGGTCTTTAGTTCACAATAGTTCCCGACTAACATTGGCATCCCCGTTGCCTGCCAATGGGTTTCGTTCTCAGTCAGAACGATTCACAGTATAATCCTCTTTTTGTTTTTTTTGGTCAAGCTTTTTGTTTTGTGAAACAAATCAGAATATCTACTTCATTTAATAAGATTTTCCATTTCTTAATTTTAGCGACCTAAAGTGAAACATTCCCATAAAATATTCAAAGAACAAACTAAAAATCAAAAACAGCATCCACGACAATTTTTTGTGGTAATTACGCCGGCTGTGACAATAGACAAGGTCGAATCCATCGTCGTCGCCTTGTGTTATATCTCGGATCTGCCGACTGAATAGATTCCCGCGAACTAGTCTTTTAATTTTTTTTTAGTTTTCCTTTCCTCTAGTTCCTCTCAGTTCCCTTCCTTTCGGTCCGGGACAGGTAACATACGGCTCACACCCTCCACTCTCTCCTAGCATGGGGCTATGATCGCGCTGGCTGATTTGTACGTAAATTAGTCTTTTATTTAGTTCCTCCAGTTCCTCTAGGTCCGGATCCGATAACATACGACTGGCACTCCCCATTCCTGCCTAGCTTCGGGCTACGATCGCTCTGGCCGATCCGTCGCCATCGCATATTATTATATCGGCTTCAGTGTCGATCCCGGAATAGGTCCTGAGGAACTAGTTCTTTGAAAAACCGTGAACTAGTTCCTTTCATTCCGGGGTCGGAATAGTTCATTGGAACTAATTCGTTCAGGAACTACAAATCTCTATTCTCCACTAGTGCTTCCACGTCGGTGGATCTATAAACAACATAAATTTTGCCAGTTGGGAACTGAGTTTTCAAGCAGAGATTTAACAGTGAACATTTGGAGGAATATTTCTTCGAGTTACCGAATGTCGGTTTGGAAATGACGTTCGAATACATTCACCACATAATTATACATACAGGGTAGTCTCCTACGATGTTCTCTATGGGTATCTCAAGAAACTACTGAGATAGAGAGTCGGTTAAATGGGGAAAGAATTGCAAAAAACAAATTTTGGCTGTTTTAAAAATTGTCCCTAATTCCATTATAATCTAAGTATTTTAGACAAAAAATTTTCAGATAAAAGTTGTATTTAATCCCACATCCCCTAATGAGTTTGTGTTCCTCCGATTTTTCTAAAGGCTCTTTTTTATGAAATCATGGCCAACTATGGTTTTAATTTAAAAAAAACAGATGTTTGTGACATATGTCAAAAATGACAGGCTTTAGAAAAATCGGAGAACACAAACTCGACAAGGGTGTGATCATCAGGCAACATCTGAAAATTTTTTGTTTAAATATGGCACTATAATGGAATTAGGGATGTTACAAAAAATAGCCAAGAATTTTGCTATTTTTTTCAATATCTAGTAAGCGATGAACTTTTTTCAAAAATCTGAAAGGCGCATATTTATGACCCCATAAAATTGCAATTCTTTCCCTATTTAGCCGACTCTCTATCTCCAGTAGTTTCCGAGATACCCAGAGAGAACATCGTAGGAAACCCACCCTGTATAATTAAAGGGGAATAAATTGAATGGGGAATAAAACCAATATGTATTGGGTAAGCCAGCTTATTTCTTTGTTTAATTCAAGTTTCAAACATACATCATGAATTAACAAACACAGAAACATCTATCACATTTACTGTAAAAGCTTATTGGTTTTATCTCTTTAAGCCATTTAGAGTAAATGTTAATTTACCTAATGACAGATAAATGTGTGTTTATCATTGATGCATATAGCAACGATTGACTAACAAATGCTTAATAAATTCGTTATTATATTTTGTTTTTATATAGGATGTATACAAAGATGATAAAGAATATGTTACTTGTTACCCGTACTACGCTACCTAATTAAGTTAAATATAAATAAGTACGAAAGAAATTAAGAAAACATATTTAACCAGATAGCGCCATGCATAGCTTCAATAAGTGAGTATTCCAAAATACTAACAGTATTTCTAATTATCCTCATATCCTCTAATATAATTTTTACGTTTACATTGTTTGATAGATGGATATTATTAATTTTAACAAAAAATAGCAATGACTTAATCAAACTTAATACTAACCATCTATCAAAGAATGAAATCGAAATAATATTACCACAGAAACGTGTTTTGGTTTTTAGGACTTCAACTACAATTTATGAAAATTACATTAATTGAACTAATTATAGGCCAGTCGGTACGTCGTTTTAAAAAGGGCTAGGTAGAAATAATTAGGGGCAAGCTGAATTATTTTTTATTTTCCTTGTTTTGATGTGCACGGTCTGTCGATCCCGGATTTGGCCGCCATTTTGAAAAAGTCGATATCAAAACTAAATTTTTATGGATTTTTTAAAATACCTCGGTCTGGGTGAATTATAGAAAAAAAATTCAGGTAATCAAAAATAAAGCAAATTAAATTTTCTACAAAAAAGGTTCTACTAATTATTCTCGTTAACTTATCAGTTCTAAAGTTATAGCAATTAACATCTAAGGCTCATTTTAAAATACATCTTAATGTGCGCTAGCGTTAAATTTGATACTTGATTTTTTGATATTTGAGTCTCAGAATAACATCTACTTTTTAAAGCAAGGAAAGGGAAAAGCTGGAAATACCCTCTATTCACCCTCTGCATCAATATTGGACACGGCTGTGAAAGAAAACATTTTGTTTTTACATGCATTTAGTGGGTGCGACACCACTTCAGCAATTTACAGGCAGGGTAAAATGAAGTTCCTTAAGGTTCTAAGAAATCAAACAAGTTTGAAAACTGCCATTTACTGTTTTAGAGACCCAAATGCAACTCCTGAAAGCATAGCCAAAGTTGGAATTCAATTTCTTCCTGCACTTTATGGGTCAAAGAGCGACGACACATCACTACACATCTATAGACGTCGATTTTTTGCGCAATCTATAACAAAGATTTTATTTAATCTTGCATCCCTTCCTCCAACCGAAGATGCGGCTCGCATGCACTCATTTCGTACATACCTACAAGTCCAAAAATGGTACGGTAACGAAAAAATACCCACTGACTGGGGTTGGAAGCAGTCGTCCAATGGACTTATACCGATTCCTATGCTGCAAGACGCCGCTCCCTAAGAGTTATTCGAGATGATTTCTTGTAAATGCATAAAAGATTGCAACGCAGCCTGCAGCTGCAGAAAAGCAGGATTACACTGTTCGGTCGTGTGCGGTTCGTGCCAGGGAAGAGCGTGTTCAAATTCTGAAATAATTCTAGAAGATCCAGGGGACGACGAAGAAATCGATTCTCGATTAGAAGAATTAATGACCAACGAAAATATCGAAGACGTAGAATTGAACAAGAACCAGATGAACAGTTTGATGAAGAATATATTGATGAGTCAATTGATCAACCTTATCATGTCATATGGATATAAAAATAGAACATTTGCAACGGCAAGAAAGTGGTTTGGTTTGGTTTGGTTGTCAACAAAGCAAAACAAAGAGAATAAGTGTTATTGCAGCTTGCCCCTAATTATTTCCACCTAAAACTACTTGTCGACTGGTCTATTAATGTTATTTATAATTTTTTAATGAAAATTACATTAAAAAAAACATTAATTGTATTGCTTATTTCATGTAACCATAATTTTCTGAAGCACTAATCATTCTATTCAAAAAGTGATGGTAATGAAGCCTACTAACACATAATGTATAATATACAGGGTGATTCCTGTAAGTCGGTCATACTTTCGAGGAATGATAGGGGACGTCGAAATATTAATTTTGATTTAGCACACTATGGGTCGGAAATGCCTCTTGACGTCCCCTATCATTCCTCGAAAGCATGACCGACTTACAGAAATCACCCTGTATATGTGAATACATAGTTTATGAATTATAATTTAATTTAGGTATACATCCACTATGCTTGGCCTTTATTAAACTACATTAGCCATTTCCTAACTTTAATTGAATAAGTTATTTACCTTTGGGTGACTTTATGATTGCCTTTGGCTATTATGGCAAGTGGAGTAGGCTACTTGGGTTAGTTAACAACAAAGCGAAAATCATCTCGTTGATTGAATTTAAGCCAAGAGGTTCATAAATGAGTA